ATTCTGCTGTTCATCGAGAAAAATCATCATATGTATTACATTATATATATTTACACTCTGTATTTGTGTATATGTTTTGTGTGTATATTATCATATATATAAATAGCTGTATATAGATTTGCAGTATATATCCAGGAATATACAGAAAACATACCGTTTTATCATAAACAATTACTTTTAACCTCCTAGAAGGAGCCAGAATTCCAGAAGATTATCAGTCAACATTTGAATAAAGGAGAATGTGTTTTCCTCTGTTTTAGAAGGGTGGTTTTTGTGTTTTTTTTTTCTTTTGGCATCATGCCACTCTGAAACCAAATGAAATCATAAAAAGGAAACTAAAGCTGCATATTTAATAGAAAAAGTGTGAAATGCACTCTAGAAATAGAAAAGATGATCAAGAAATATCAAGATGAAATTTCAGTTGGGAGGGATTCCTAGAGCTAGGTGGGAAATAGAGTGTCTGCCTTTAATTTACGGGGGGAGTTTGCCAGCAATGGCCTTCTGTAATCTGCACCATCTGCATTATTGATTAATGAGGTCAAGGGCAGAATTACTCACTGTTGGTTTCCTCCCAGGAGCCCTGTTCTGGTCTCTTCGCCAGAGTGACTTCTCGGTCTTCCTTGCAGCCAATTTGCAAAGTGCTAAGGAGGTACTTTCCTCCCATAAGTGCCGCCCCCACCGAGTTGGGTGACACCTGCCAACAGATGACAAAGAGGCTCCCATTTTGATGAAGAGGTGCTAATAAATGTGTTCAGGATCAGAGTCTGATGGTTGCTGGCCTCCATCTAGAGATAAAACACCCTTCACCGAGAAGCAAAGGGAACCACTTAGACCCCATGCACCCCAATTTGTGGAAAAGTGAAACATTCAATCACCAAACAATGAGCTGTATTGGTATTTGTTTGTTTGCTTTAACTAAACTAGCTAGAGTAGTTTTCAGTTTATTTCGAGGACTCTCTCCCTCCTGGAATACATCCATACCATATCCATATCTGTGGTCCTTATGGTAACTCCTTTCTGCTTGGATTACTTGGCCTGAATCTCTTTAAAGCAGTATATATTTTAAATTGAGCTGTGGTCACTGCTTTTTTTTGTCTCTCACCTGCAATTTTTCCCTCCTTTGTCTACCGTCTCCAAAGTCACAGAGAAAAGATGATCTCCATGGGAGGAAATCACAAATGGGTGTCTGCTTTTCATCCCTGCCTGCAGTGAGGCATCGTGCCATGGTGTGAGGAGACAGGGGCTTGAGACCCCGGTTTCCTCCTGGTTCAGATCCCAACCCTTCCCACCAGATTGCTGGTCAGCAAGGGTGACAGTGCCCACCTTATTCGGTCACTATAGGATTGAATGAGATAACCCTTCCTGATCCCTGGATTTGCAGAAAGTGTCATGTAAATATTTGCTGTTGTGATGAGTGGCGGTCACAGAAGCGTAAGGTAGAGGTAGACAGGAGGTCATGGTCAGAGCTCCTCAGTGGTGCTTTAATTCCTTCTAGAGTGTGGAAAGTAATTATTCTCTGGTTTGTCTCCTTCTTACTTATCTTCCAGTTCATTGCTTCTATAGAAAAAAGTTGGTTTTGCTCAAGTGTGGGCTCTGAATCTAAAGCTAAATTTGATGATGGTCCAGTGACTGAAAGCTATTCTGGATGATGAAATAATCACTACTCATCCAGAGTTGGCATGTAGGCTTAATGCAAGGTGTATTTCTTGCAGCAGTAAATCTAAGTGGATAATTTGTATTATACTTTCTTATTTTTTAATTTAATTATACTTTAATTAATTTTTAATATGCACAGAGCTTAAAGAGGCAACCAGTTCTAAAAAGCTTATTATGAAAGACAGCTCTCTACCAGTCCATCAGCACCGTTTCCCATTCTTTTGATGCAATTGTGTTTTTTAAATGACGTATAGTTGATGCACGATGTTACGTTAGTTTCAGGTGTCCAGCATCGGGATTGGTGGGGCATGTCCTCCAGTAACTGCTTTTTGAGAAAGGATACATAGGAAGTAAAGGTTTTGAGACAGTTACACTTTTATTTTTATTCTTCTCTCACTCTTAATGAATAGTTTGGTTGGGCACAGAATTTCAGGCTGAAATCATTTTCCTCTCTAATTTTGAAGGCATCTCTCCATTGTCTTCTAGTTTCCAGCACTTTTGTTCAGAAGTGAAATGTCATTCTGGTTTTGATCCTTTGTATGTAATCCCATTTCTCTCTTTCTGGTCATTTCTAAGACCTTTTTCTCTATGCCAGTATTCTGAAAATTCATAATGATATGCTTCAGTGTATATATATATATATATATATATTTTTTTTTTTTTGGTCCATTGTGCTGAACACTCAGGAGGCTGTTTTACTCAGAAAATGCACATCCTTAACTTCTGGGAATTTTTTTAAAATTATTTATTCGATTATTTTCTCTTTCCTGTTTGCTGGAACTTCTGTCTACAAGTGCCGGGTTTCCTGTTTCTGTTAAGGTGAGGGAGGTACAGTCACTGGTCTGCTTGAAGTGAGGGAGGTAATTTGCGGATTACATTTTCAAATACTCTTTCAGTGACCCTGTCTTCAGACCCTCCTTCACCCCCACTTCTAGAGCTTTGCCCACTGCCAGCTGAGTGGACCCTTGTTCTGCTTTCCAGCATCTGGCACGCCTGGGTGGTTCAGCTGGTTATGCGTCTGCCTTCGGCTCAGATCATGATCCCAGGGTCCTGGGATCGAGTCCCACGTCGGGCTCCTTGCTCAGCAGGGAGTTTGCTTCTCCCTCTGCCTGCCACTCCCCCTGCTTGTGCTCGCTCATGCACACGCTCTGTCTCCCTCTCTGACAAATAAATAAATAAGATCTTTGATCAGCTCATACATTCTCTTTTCCTTGGGGGTTTATGCCTTGTTAAAAAAAAAAAAGAACCCCCCTTTACTATTATCTTGTTCTGGTATAAGAAGAAAGAGCAAAGGTCATGGTATGTTTCCAGTCTGTTATGTTTAACCAAAAGCCCAAGTGATTTTTTTAAGGAAATTCAGAATTGATGTTTGCCACATGTTTTAAGTCCATTTTCCTAATCATCAGACACTGAATAAATATTCACAACCTTTTATGACCTGCTGGAAAATGGACAGTTCCAGTCCAATGTAAGCTATTCCATAGATAACCGCGGATTCTAAGAGCATACAGTACAAGGAGAGAGAATGATAAGAGGGCAAAGAATACATTTGTTGTAGGGTGCCTGGGTGGCTCAGTCGTTAAGCGTCTGCCTTCGGCTCAGGTCATGATCCCAGCGTCCTGGGATCGAGCCCTGCATCGGGCTCCCTGCTCTGCAGGAAGCCTGCTTCTCCCTCACCCTCTGTTTGCCTCTCTGCCTACTTGTGCTCTCCCTCTCTCTCTGTCAAATAAATAAATAAAATCTTTAAAAAATAATAATAATACATTCGTTCTAAAGTGATTTCTGTGGCATGAGCTCTCTTCTTGACAACCCCATCATCCATAACTTAGATCTGCAAATACAAGACCTAATAAGGGAAAATCAGCAACAGAAAAATACCTAAGTGTCCCTATAACAAGTGGAAGAATGTGTTCATAGAAGGAGACCTCATTACTCATTTATGGTTCTATTTAAGTCCTATCTTTCATGTTATTTGAATCCAGAAAGCCTTTTCTGGTTTGACTTTGCCTGATCTTTTCTTTATAGAAGGACACAGTCATCAGGGAGAAAAAGGCTCCAAATGTTGTCTTGTCCCCGAATCCCTTTTTCCTATTGTCTTTGGTGCAGCATGTGGCTGTCATTGGCCCAGCCGACAGCTGACATTTGCTGTGTCCTTCACTTATGAGGCCAAGGGCAAAGGCAACTAGACAGGTCCTGTGGCCGAGGGGTGGTTGACACTTGTCTTGGGAGGCGGGAGGGAGTTGTGGGTGACAGCCAGGAAGCACTTCTGACCCTGTTCTGCAGACTCTTCCACCCTTCTTTTTGAGAGTCTGCCAAAATGGACCCACGCCACAAAGTAAAGAAAAAATAGCAGGTATCCCTCAAAAGGAGATTTGGGAGGGCTTACCAAGGAGAAATGACTTTTCCTCCAGAACAGGGATCTTAACCTGGCGTCTGCAGCTCCCCGCTTGCCGGCTGCCTCTCCTCCCCATGGCCCAACCCTGCTCGTTGCCCTCCTTTGTCTCACCCAGGGGCCTCCTTCTCCTGCAGGAAGTCTGGACACAGCAGGCCAGGGCTGTCATAGCCTCCCGGCCGTGTGCCTCCTGGCCTCATCATAGCAGAGCCATCATATCCTTAAAGGGACATTGCCCAACTGCTAAGAATAACATTTTCTCCAGATAAATATGCAAATCAATATTTTAAAAATTCTGATGAAACAAGGAGTCAGTTGCCGACAAGGACAGCCATGTAATAGAGGGGAGAGAAGGGGGCGGCAGACTGGGCTTGTCCCAGCCCCTTGTGAAGGGCAGCGGCTGCCCAGCCCTGGGGCTCATTCCATGAGCCTGAGCTGCAGCAGACATGAGAGCCTTGACAAGGACACAGGGTAGGTCGCTCCTCCATCCCCTTGGCATGAGGAATGCTAAGGCTGGTGGGTTCCTGGGAGACACAGGTCTTTGATTCCACTTTGCTGAGCCTTCCTCGTGCTGCCCAACAGCCTGGGATATGTCCACCCGAACTTCTATCCCTCCTTCATAGGGGTCAGACCCAAGGCGCAGTTGGGTGGCACTCCTACCTTCCCCCCTGGCTCCCTCCCCATTTTCTCTCATGAGTGTCTTCCCCTCACAAAACTGTTGCAGGTTTAATCCCATCTTGGAATCTGCCTTTCTCAGGAGATCCGGACTAATATGCCCAAAGACCTTCAGTAAATTCGTATCGGCAGGCAGATTGACCGGGACCAGCACAGGAGACAGAAATACTAAGTTGTGTTCTCGGTTTATCATTGGCCAGAGCCACCAGGAGCCATGCTTTCTCCTTTGCACCATCAAATATCCTGTTTCTTACTGTCTTTTGCCCTTTTCCTTCAGGTTGTGGCTCTTTCCTCCTGGTGCCTGCTGAGGGATTCGATCTACTACACGCTGTCTGTGGTGGCGCTCATCGTGGTAAGTGTGTGACGCACCCCTCACTTGAGTCCCCTTGCCATTTGACTCTTAACTCCTCTTTCTCACCCCTCGGGATTATGTACAGCTTCTCTGCATGGAGCAAGTTCAAGGTCTCTGGTGACGAATGAGCGAACGGGTGTCTATGCACGGAGGTGGCTTCTCTTCCAGCTGCTTTGATCACCCAGAACCCCAGAGTGATAGTTTGGTGCTCAGAACAGGAGGGTTGACTCTGGTTAGCTGGTTTCATGAGAGTCATCTGCTGTTTTCCTGTGACCCCCTGACCATTCCCTCGCACTTTCTCACAGGCTCCTCTGGAACTCTCTTCAGCATCAGTGTCCCCGGGTTTGGACCTTACTTCCCCCTCTCCACATGCTCTCCCAGGACAGTGCCCATGGCCATTACCACCTTTGTGGTGGACACATCCACACTGTATTCTTGGCAATGGCATCCTCCTGAGCTCCAGTCACAGAGAAGCCCCTCTCTACTGGACATCTTCCTATCCCAAACTCAGTGTGTCTCTAAACTTACTGTGACTTCCCCAAGACTGGACCCTCTTTCTGTATTTCAACCCCCGTTTCTCTCCTAGCCACCCAACCTGCGGATGCTATTAAGTTGACCTTTCCTCCAATTCCACTGTCCCAATTTGGCTTCATTGTAGATTTTCATCTTGTAAAAATCTCCCCAGTGTGTCCCTTCATAGCCCATTTTAGTTGAGGCTTTTTATGTCTTTGGCCTGAGCTGACACAGCCTGTCGTGGGTCAGTATGACAATGAGAAGCATTGCTGCTACCCATCCCCCCCTTATACCCCCAGGTGAGTCCTCAGAGTTGTCCAAGTGGTAGCTCTACAAAGAACATGGCTTGTGGCTCCATGTCACCTGTGGGGACGATTCCAAACCCCTCAGCTTGGCAAGCTGAGTCATCCAGGAGAAGGGTGGTGAATCGGAAAGACACTGAAATGGGAGTTAGGACATCTGACTCCTAATCATGGCCCCCTCCCTTCTGGCTAGCTCTAATGACCTTGGAAAAATCAGTCTCCTCAAGTCATAGTTTTCTTACCTACAAAACAGGAATAGATCCACTGAAGTGTTTACTCCCCTATTTACCAAATACTTGCCTGTTGGTTATTTAATTGTCAATATCTATACAAATAAGTTGAAAGTGATGTTTAATACAAGACTTTCTACAAGGAACCTGTAGATACTTCAGCCAACAGCAGTTCCTGTCAGTGAAGATCTTGGGTGTACAACCACAGTCCCCTCATTCCAGGGGCCATTGATAATCAGAAGGGTCAAGACGTGCCCAAGCAGCAGAGCATTCAGATCCACCATGTTGGAACTGAAGACATGCCTCCTCTGTCGAACTTCCGGTTGGTAGACTTAAGAACACGCCTGGATTCTATGTTCTCATTCTCAATTACTACCTGTAGGTATGGTAATGGGTAAGGTATGATCACCCCAAATCTAGAAGACTCCTGTTCACAAAGAATTCTCAAACACTTGTTGCAGCGAGCTTTGTCCGGTGACGTGGGAGCCCACGTTAATCACATGCACCCTCTGCTCTCCTGCCTTTGGGGTAATTTAGGATGGCTTTGGAAGTTACTGTTTCAAAAGGCATGGCTTAGGGATGGCATAAATGGATGCAACTCTCTGTTTTGCTGAATTCTGGAATGAGATGACCATTCCCAGAAAGAAGAGGTGATGAGGTGGAAGGCAGAGATCTCCCCGGAGCATGGACTCAGCATGTCCACTCCCAACAGTGAATTGCCCACACTGGCTTCTTTCTCTGTTTTCAGCACAGATGCCTCTTGGACTCTGTGTGAAATAACTTGTCTTGGGTCGGATTTATCTGAATATGCCCAGGATTTAAAAAAAAAAAAATGTAATTGTTGCTAATGATGTGTGAGGAAGTAAAGAGTTTTGTTTCTTTGGGCTGCAGGTGATGCTCACCCAAGTGGGGTCTTAGGCAAAGCTGTCCTCTGCCCCACGTGTGGCCCGTGAATCACAGAGCTGAGCCAGCCAGACACCCAGGCTGCCGCAGCTCTGTATTTCCCTCAGATGGCAACAAGATGCAAAAGCCAGTGACTCTTTGCTGTTACCTGCAGATTTGGACTGTGTATTTACAGCCTAGCTGTGAAGGCTGGAGTTTTCTGATTTTGAGAAAAATTACATTTCTCCACTGTTAGGAAGTAATGGCAGAGATAAAGCTTGAGTCCTCAGGGTTTGGTCTTGGTTCTTCTTATTTTTACCCATGTTCCGCCAACTTCTGTACTCCCTGGAAACACCCAGCATGCTTATCTAAAAAGTGCAACCCAGAGATCTTAATCCAGTAAGTTCTGGGGTAGGATGCACGAAGTTCCACTTTGGCCAGATCTGCCCTGCCCCTCAGGGGATTCCGATGCACCACACTCACTTCCAGAAACTCAACTGCAAATACAGTTGGACACCATTTCCTTGGGATAGTCACCTGCTGTGTGGTGATGATCGCTTCTGGAGGAAATGTTGAGATTCTCCAACACAAGGCATCATGGCAGCTTGTTTGTCTGGATTGCTGACTGCTGTTCATTCTCAGGGTCATTTTCACATGATACCTGAAACCGGGGTGAGGAGTAGAACAGTGTTCCACACAGAAGCACAACATTTAGCGAAGTGCATTTTTCAACGTCCCCAGATCTCAACATCCCCAGGCTGTTGCTTGTTTTTGTCAGGGTGTTCTATTCTCCTCCTTCTGCATTTTCCCCAAATGTTAAGAAAATCACTTTTCTTCTGGCCTTCTTTATAGAATATTAGGCTTCTTTAATAGGACCCTGCAGTGGGCACTTAAAATTCCTGTATTTAAACACCTCCCTCCTATCCACAAATAATTACCAACCATCCGTACAATTTATTTTAACTATTAAGGTTTTTTTTTTTTTTACCCTTTTGCCCTTTTTATGGTTCTGAAATGTTTAGAAGACAGAATTGCCAGTCTCCGGAGGTGATGCAGTAAAGAGCTCATTCACCTAGAGGGCAAGTCCAGACTAAGTGGGTGCATGAGAATCACCTAAGTGGGACCAGATGTCGCTTCTTTGTATATCCCTGTGAGAGCTCCTACAGCCCCTTCAACCCCATGCAGAGGAGCCCCAAGAATGAACCATGGAGCCGGGGGACCCAGAGAACAGGGGAGAGAGCTATGGGAGGGATGCTCATACTGCTGGGCCAGGAGAGTGCGGACAGTCGCAATTACCTGGGTCTGAAGCAGGTTTGAGCTGGAGAAGACCAGAGGGCAAACACACACTGAAAACAACAGAGCTTAAGACTGTTAACTTAGAGACAAGAGACTCGTTCCCTTGGGCATTTGGGTTTTACCTACCTTGGCTCTGTTCTGTTTTCTGGTGGGTTTGGTGTTGTCTTTCAGGGAGAAAGCAGAAGAAATTAGGAACGTGTTACTGTCAAAAGCAGTTATGATATCAAAAACATGCAGTGTGTGTCTCTCTGCCCTGCCTGCCCCATCAGGCGTCCCCCCTTTAGCCCTGGTGACATCCTGTACAGCGAAGCCTCAGGCCCTGGGGAAGCTGGACGTGGCCCAGCAGACTCACCCCATGACTGGAGTCTCTCTCTGCAAGACAAGTGTCACCTTTTAGGTCTTGAAAGCATTCTGGGTTCTTTGCAGCATGTCCTTGTATGCATCTGTCCAGCAGATAGTCTGCACATCCTTACAGACCCTCTTGCTGCTTCTCTCCCATTCAAGTGACCCACCCCCCACCGATGTCCACCACCACAGGCAGCTCTGCCTAGCCCTACCCTTTCTCCAAATTCCAGCAGGCCCCACAGCCTCTTTTATTGAAATGTTACTGTAATTTACATAATCATGTAATTTACATAAATGCAAATGATTCATTACATCCTCCTTCTAACAGCTGCCCTAAAAAGGAATACTTTATTTTTACTCTCCCTCTCTGCTTTGAGATCCGGGATTGTGAGCAGTAAGAGAAGGGAAACCTCCTGGAGGGAGTGGATAGGCCTCGGAGACAGGTTCGGATCGCTGAACTGGCTCACAGATCCAGAGTCAGGAATGCTGCCTACCCGGAGAGGGGCCAGGTGGGCCACTGGCACCAGTTGGGGGCCCTCGGGGCCCCCTGAGCACGGGCACAGTGGCAAGACCCCTCCGAAGCAACGCTTCCCTCTCTTCCTCCAGGGGGCTGATCGCAGTCCCCCCTCTTGAAGTGATTTTGCGGGGACAGAGAGAAACAACTTAGCTGGCCCAGCCACCAGAGGTGGCCTGGGCGACACCATCCAGTTGTGTAGCCACTGGGCACATGTGGCTATTGAGCTCTTGAAATGCAGGGAATGAAACCAAGGAACTGAATTTTAATTTAATTGAAATTTATGTAACCACGTGCAGCCAGTGCACACCATACCAGACAGCACGGTTGTAGACAGCAGATCCATCCAGAGAAAATACATGCACATTCTCACAGGCATCCCCGAGTTTTAACCAGCATAGACTCGATACTTACTACAGGCCTGGGTACAATCCTGGGTCTGTCCATGAAGAACTTCCAGTTCAATACTCACGACTCTGCAAGCTAGCTAATTACATGAGTCCCATTTTATAGATGAAAAAACTGAGGCCCCAGAAATTCAGGGATTTGCCCAGGGTCAGGGAGCTGCAATAGCTCAGGTTTGCCAGAGCAGGTATCTAAAATGGTACATCTCCACCCTCCTCCATCCCCCGGCCCTGGCGAAGAATTCGGATTTCCCCTCCAGTAAAATCTGCCTCTTCATCTTTGAAATCATCCTGATTTACCCTCGCCTGCTGTGCAGTCCACCAGTAGAGAGGCATGCCTCCTGTGCTTACTTCACATGTTTAGACTGAAGGGAATAGCTTCTGCCTTCCCCCTCCTGATTCCTCTTTCCTTAAGACCGCTGATGGTAAATGATCCAGAATCTTATGTCACCCTATCCATGAGAGAAAAGACATCTCACAGTAGTTGATGACTGTCCTTCCCCACCCCACCCCCCACCTTCACGCTGGCCTCCATTCAGGGCCCTGCCCCTCTGGCTCACCACCCTCCCTTCTTGGACCTCTTCCTTGCAGGGAGTTAGCCTCTTCTCTCTGATTCAGCGACATTCCTGGTACCCCTTTGTTACATCTCAGCTCTCCTTCTGGGAAAGCGAGAACTAACCACGGTAGCTAGAAGAGTCTCAGAGGGAATGAATGTGAGAATTTTTTAAGTTCCTTGAACAAGTCAGCTGTGGTCATACAAAGGGTCACCTGTGTCCTTATCCCTGCCACTCAGAGGAAGAAGGCCGTGCCTAAAGGCTGCTGGGGTGTACCAGGAAGCTGGGCCTTCCTTGCACTTGGTCCTGGAGCAGGGACGTGGGTCAGGCAGACGGAGGGATGCACAGAGGACCCTCTTCTCTTTCACAGGGAAAATGACTTGGAAGTTTCAGTTATATGCCTGTGTTTGGTTTCGCACTGCTCAGCAAATATAGCCCTTTGGGTTTGGCAACTGTCCTCCCCTCTATCCTAAATCCATCCCCTTATCTGCTTTCCTTCATCCCGTAACCTGCCTCTTCATATTTATGTGAGGTGACCAGCTCTGCTCAAGCCCTGCCTTGAGGTAGTCCTTATCTCCTACCCTCCTGCAGCCCGCACCACTGTCATGGGCCGGCTAGAGATCCCAAGGTCGAAATTCCTGTTTAACTTTCAAGTGTAAACCATATTGGTGCTTAACAGCAGCTTTCCAGTGCATTCCATTGGATTCCTCTCCTCAGAAGGAACGCCATCTGCACCCCCAGTCCCCAGAGCTGAGGAAGTCAGAACTCCCATTTGGGCACATCTCCTGAAGGAGCCTCCATGCTGTTGAGTGAGAAGTCGGGGGATGGGAAGGGGGGAGTGCACTTTCCATTTCCAGCTAGGGAGGGACGATTTTTGAGGATTTTAGTGTCTTGAAAGAGAATGGTGGTGTTGATTGTCTCCTATTACTTTTGCTGCTTAAAATTCTAATGGTGCCAATGATTATAACACAAGCTATGGAAATCGTAGGTTCTTCAATGCGCCTGCTTCTGCTCCATGGTTGCAGCGTAGAGTAAGCCACTCCATGGACTGACATGCAATGTGGGGACAGCCACCTGCCTCCCTGCTCAGAAGCCAGCCCGGCTGTCTGCTGCCCACACACCAGGGTGACTCCTGGACCGTGTTTTCCCTGTTCTTCCGTCTTGAGCAGGCCACTTCCTTAACAGTTCCCTGGGATGCTTGGTCATCCAGGGATTCACCTGCCTGATGTAAGCCTGTCTCTCTTAGGAGAATTCTAGAGGAGACACCAGGGCTGAAAGCTGGTTTCCATGGTACCCAACTGTTTCTCTGAGGCCTGAAGGAAAAGAGTGGTTTGTTGTTGTTGTTGTTGTTATTGTTGTTGTTGTTTTCAAATTCGCTCCTGTATGTTCACATTTAGCTTGTCTGTGGAACACGTGGAAAGCTTAAGGGTGAAGCCAGAGGTAGCTTTGGATGAACCATATTGGAGTCAGAGAGCAGGTCCCCTGACCAGTTGTGTGCAGCAAATCTGGGGCCCAGATACCAGTTAGCACCACCCGCATGTGGTCACAGGGGGCAGCACCAAACACAACCACCAAAGCCAAAGAGCTACCTTCCCAAGCAAGACTTGTTTTCAGAAACCCAGCTGAGATAAGGGCGAGTCAGTTCCAAAGGCCACACAGGAGGTCCCTCAACTGCAGCATGTCCTGGGGTTTGAGTGGTGGCATGAGTTGAGGGACCTGCCTGTCCCCAACTCAGAACGCGTCCTGCCTCCAGAACGTGGGCTGAAGACTCCGTTAGGAAGCCCTATGTCTTGAGGTGTTTACCCTCTTCCCAGGAGGTTTAATGGAGCCTTGAAATGGACTTGATCTGACTTCCTTCCAATCCCCCTCACTGCCTTGGCAGAGTGGACAAGCGGAGGGTAGGACGTGAGCACCACCTAGTGGTTACCAGGTGGAAGTGGGGGCCCAATTTCTTGTTTCTGACAAGTAACTATATAAATGATTTCCGGGTGTTTTCTACCCTATTAAGGCTGCTGTAAGGAGTGGGACAGTTGTTTTGTCTTCTTTTACCCACAGATAGAACATGTAAATAAAGACGAATATGCAACATTTGTCATAACATAGAATAAAATAAAATAAAATAATCTCTTAGCAAAGTAACAGATCCATTCCCTGAAACCATCAGCAGCATCAAGTGAGAAAGTCGCCTGTCCTTGTCATTTTAGGACTTTTCAGACCGAGTGATTCCAGCATTCCGTCAGGGTGGTCCAGGAACTAGAAGGAACATTCTGTGAGCAGTGTCGATTTCCTCCTTTTCAGTCTTCTGAGTGGGGGATGAGCAGTGGCTCGGCCTCATCCAGGTGCCACCAGCAAGGCCCGGACGCATTCATAACTCACCACCCCCCTCCTTTCCCACCACCAACAATCCTGTTTCCATGTAGATTTTCTTAAAGGCCTGACTTCTAGTTCCTTTTCTCTATTTTACTGTTCTTTTTTTGAGTCTTCTCATTTTTCCTCTCAATCCTCTAGAAGAAGTCAGATAAATTCCAGGCGGTATTTGCTTATTAGCCACCGGGCAGCCGAGGGCTTCTGACTCTGAGTGGTCGGTGGGGGAGCGCCCCTGCGTCAGTTAGGTGGAGGCTTCCAGATCCTCTCCATTCGTTAAGACCTGTAGGGAGACCATGGGCAGTTCTCTTTGTCTGCCTCCCTCAACACCATTCCCACCCCCGACTTCCCTGGCCACCGCCTCTACCTAAGCTTCAGACTCCTGATGTTCTGTCCTTAATTGTGTATCTAGTCCAGACCCCACTATTCCCTGATTTATTGTGTCCTCTGTAAACTCCATTCTCATTTTGGGATCCTTTGCACAGTTCAGCCTATGCTGATTTTTCCCCATCGATATGATCACTGAAATAATCGCTAAAGACCCATTGATCTGTGCCCCCACCTGTCACTCAGATGGCATAGAATAAGGGCTTCCCGAAAGCTGCTTTTATATTATAGGGTATCACCTGCCTTCCCTGATAGACGAAAATTAAATTGGCGCTTTAATAAAGTCTTTATCAGTATCTCGTGTTCTCTTAAGTGGCCATGAATTGATTGCTCCAGCACGATGCTCAAGACTGATACTAAATTAACTTCTATTAATAGAAACGTTTTCCAACTTAAATCATTTGTTCTGTTCCCTGATGTCTTGACGATTTTTTTTTTTTTTTTTTAAGCTGGGGATGGTACAAAAGGATCCGTGAATGCCTTCCGGGTGGACTGCATACCATCCAACCTGGATCGTGGGATGGTTTCCTTTATTTCTTTAATTCTCTTCCCATTCTGATTTGACATTTTCATCCAAATGTCAGCCTGATGAATCTGATAACAAGAGTCACAAAGCTGCTGAAGCCAACGTCTTCTTCAATGTCTTGTCAGGAAGTGTGAGCTATAAATAAGTGGGTCCCCTTTCCTCTCATCTTCTCTTTGCGGCTTTGGGATAATTGGAGAGAGGTCCTTTCTGGTGCCTTCAGAGCCACACCTGCTCAGCTGTGCGGCTTTCTCTCCATGTCTCACAGCTGCTGCTTATTATCATCTCCAGGGACTGAAGCAATGCCCACGTCTTTGGTTGAGTTTACAATCTCCATGCCATAATGACCCCTTGCACCCAGAGGTTTTTGCCTTGGAGTCTCCAGAGGGCCATGGGCCCCAAAAGAAAAGCGCTAAGAGCTGGTCGTACCCAGAACAGTCATATCCCGTGAAGGAGGAAAGAGCGAGCTATGAAGCAACCCTCAGCTTCCACTTGTTTTCAACAGCGTGCCGTCGATGTGTCATGGAAAGAAGACTTAAGAGCCAGGCCTGAGTTCTAGAACCAACTCCGCAGCTAAATGAGCACCCTCAGGAAAATTCCTCATGTTCTCTGTGGCTCCATTTCCCCGTATAAATCAAAGGGCCAGGATGACACCACTTTCCCCCCGAAAGTGAGAAGGGATTTGGGCTCTGGCTTAAGTGGGGCAGGGAATGTCAGTTTGGCACTGTTCCGTCTTTCCAGCAGCCTCTGACCCTTGCGAATCTCCTTGAACAAAAGGGCAGGCCTGTGGCCCAGGGCATGGGCAGCCCGCAGTGCCCCGCTGGGGTGTGCAATCACTGTCATCACTGCATTGACTTCCCACCCTCTGCAGAGGGCGGCAAGCAGAGTGGAGTCTCTGATTCTGGTTGTGATGCAGAGTTTTCTTTGAAAGTCAGTTCTTTTAAGGAAACAAATAGGTCAACCGAAAGAAAAATATTGAGTACATAGAAATCTGAGGGCTTGCCTAAAAGCTTGAAGGTGCTGTAGAGTGCCCAGAGACGTGCAGATGTCTTACAGGTGGCCCCCAAGTGGCTAATGTTTGGTCGCACCCGCCAGGCTCCCCTATCCCCTTCCAGATCTAAAATTCGACAGCGCATCGTGCTCTGCACAGAGGGGTGGTGGTGCTTCTCTGCCCCTCCACCGTTGGACAGAAGTTGCAGAAAGGAAGGGATGACCCTGTTCTTCTCCCCTCCGCAGCGTGCCGCCCCAGCCTGCCAACAGCACCTCCTTCCACTAACATTAGCCAGAAACAGAACCAGCACAGAGGGAAGTTTATCTGCAGATTCTTCATGTTGCAGGCCAGCTGCAGCCTGATTCTCGCCAAGCAGGCTACGTGGGGGGGACAACGTGCAGTCGTAACGTGTGTGTGTCGCGCAGACCTTGCATGCACGTGTGTGCACGTGTCTAATAGTCTGTCCCTTTTATTTTTTCTACAGTTCATTTATGACGAACAAGTTTCCTGGTAAGTGCCTCTTTTTCCCTTCCAGTTTCCCCTGGCTGTGTTGTGGAGCCGGATATATGGAAGACCAGTCAGGGTTTAGAAAGAAAGGGGAATGTCGGGGCAGCTTGCAATAACCAGCACCTCTTGGGGACCCCTCTGTGGACCTCAACAAAGACATTAGATTAGCTTTCACAGAGCAGAGACATTTTCCCCTGGGCTGGGGTGGTGGCCTTCCTTTGGGAGGCTAATATCCCACTGTCTTTGTCACCCAGGTTAGTGACAAACTTAGCTGGCCTCCTGCCGTCAGTCATTTGCTGGGTCCTGGTTAGGGTTTGACTAGTCTTTACAAATCGTATGCAGACCGTGTTGGCATATTCCAAATACCATGTATGTCTCGGGAACCAGAGATGGAGGCACTTCCGTTATCCTTAACCCATTAAAGTTCCGCCTGACATTCAAGATGATCTTAGATCTCTGAAAAATCGGTGACTTTTTTTTTTTTTTGATAGATACAAAACTTTAGCCAGGTTATGTCTATGGGAACATTTGCATTTGGGCCAACTATCCAAATCCCCATTTCTCAGGTGGGCTTTGAGCAAGTCAGATATCTCTGGAATAGAAATAGAAATTGGGTGCGTTGTGCATTCTTGCTTCGTTTTTCGCAAATATTTGATCTGTAGATATAGGGAAATATGAAATAGCATCTTAGGGAGAGTGTGGCAGTGTAGCTAGGTAAGTAGACCAACTTTCGTGGTATTATTTAAAGCTAAGAGTGAGCCTTTGGCAAAATGCGCACTAGCCCTTTGTGGGAGTGACAGCTCTTTGTCTTAGGATCTCTGATTTTCAGAATTTGGGCATGGTAGAGGAACTTGCCCCATTGATGGTAAATGTAATTCACCATGCCAAGGTATTAAAGTGTAGTTTTGCCAACTCTCTCTCCTCTGTCCAGGAGGGGCAAGGAGGCCACTAGGAGAACTTGCTTTAAGCATCATCATCCATATATCAACCCATCAAAAAACAAGAAGGTCTTCTTTGAGAAGCCTGGACCAGCAGGCTAAAAGGGATTAAGAGGTCAGGGAGAACCTCTTCATGGGATCTGCCTGGATAAGGTCGCCAAGCAGAGTGGTGACATCTTCCCACCATGTCCTTAGGGATGAAGTGCAGCACAAGAAAACTTACAAAACTGTTCTCACTCCAAATGATGGCATGCCACCGCTCTGCCTTAGCAAATAGTAGATGCTTACATGTTGCTCAGTGTTGCTGCTCTTAGCTCACAACACTGCCATAAAGACAAGTTATGATTGCAGTCGATCTCGGAAATTTTTCTGCTGTTTTTGCACAGAAAACCTTAAGAAGGGATAGCTATGGTGGTTTACTGTTGGTTTTTCTTAGAGCTCTCTCTTTTCTCTACCTCTCTGGCTTTGCTGATGAAAGCGGGCCTATTTCAGTCCTCAAAATGTCTTTTAGGATCTTTCAGATGGTGTGGATCAAGAAAGGGAGAGACTGTTTCCTCTGCATTCCAAAGGCCAAATCTCCTGTGGATGTTACGAGGTTAGAACCCTGGGCCTGCACTGAAGGGCTCAGAGTCTGAGGTCCTTGAGCCCTTAGCCTGAGCACTGAGGCTCCCACATGGAGAAGGAGTCAGGAAGGCCATGAATGAATGAGTTGCAGATTCCCAAGTATGTTTCGTTCCAGCCTGAGCTGGGTTAGAATCCTAACTCATGCACAGGAGTAGCTGCAGGGAAGAACAAGGGGGAGGCTTCATGGCACCAGGACATCATTCCCAGACTGCTGGCCTGTTACGTAATTATTGTTATTATGTGGATGTGCTGATGGAGGACATTCTTCACATGAGTGAGGCCGAGAGATTAAAGTCTGCGCCACTGGCCCATAACTGCTCTGGGACTTCCAGGGATCTCAGCTCCTCATTTAAATGCAAAATATATTGAACTTTAAGGTATTTTTCACTGTCCACCGAAAATACTGGGTATTTTTCATACCCCGCCAACCACAAGCATTTGTTTTGCTGAAAGGGTGTGTCTAGGAGCTGACTTCTCTGATTTCTCCCTTTAACGCCAGATTCTTCAACTTGTGCAATTAAAACACAGCAATACTTCACAAATACCTTTAACAGTGAATTCCTTTCCTTGTTGTAGAACATTCCATCATGTCTTAGTGATTTCAAGGGCGGTAACCAATTCATCCCAAATCCTCAAAAGCAAACTAATTCACTTGTGTATCTTTTGAAACGAGAGTACTCTCTAGGACTAAAGGAGCCTTGTCGAGTACAATACACAGGGGCAAGACTTCCCCATCATCCACAGCTCAGATGCCTTTACCACTCCTGAATCAGCATTCTGCAGCAGATCTCAAGCATCCAGGGAAGGGCAGGCAAAAGGCTTTTACAGCAGAAAACCAGCTCCAGTGGGTTAAAGAAACAGTGGTTTATTTTTCTTACATAACAAGTACCCCAGCTGTTGGTGGTATGATGGCTCCGCATTTCTGTTGGCCTCTCCCTCATGGTCCCAGGAGGCCTGCTGCAGTCCCAAGCATCAAGTTTGGATTGAAGGCAGGAAGGATGAAACAGGAAGAACACCTTTCCACCTTATATCTCCTTGGTCCCCACTATGGCCAGGTGGGATAGAATTATAACTCTAGACCGATCATTATTTATCCTGGAGATGGACCCACCCTCCTTCAGATCCAGCAGTCCTCATTTGCTGTCTCAACCTTGTAGGCTTCTATTAGCAAACAAAAGGCAGGTGAATATATGTTTGGTGCTTTTCAGTTAGATAACTACCCCTAAAGACATTTAAGATAGAAAGCATCAGAGATCCACCAAGTATGAAGGATGTTCAACCTGAATCCATAATGACAGCTCAGCAAGGCCCACAATATTGCCAGAAGGAATTTAGACTATGTCTTCAGTGAGTCTGAAGCCCTGACAAGAAAACAAAAGGATCCAGGTTGATGTTCTTGTTTCTTCTTTGAACCTCAAGCTGTAACTTTGGGAGAGAAAAGAGAGCCTGGGGACGTGACCTGGAGAATATTTACCTGTGTGGCACTTGGAACCAGCATTGAGTGTTCTGGACCACAGTTAGGAAAGCAGAGCCATGCCCTTTGGGTGAGAATGGGGAGGAACAGGAAATAAGCCTCCCAAAAGAGGAAAGAACAATCTTTGGCAGGAGAACCAGGGGCCAGTTGAAGGTGGTTTCAAATGGAAGTTTGCGGGAAGGGAAAGAACAAACCCAGATCATGCCACAAGACCAGATCCTTGGAGGACAGTGGATGAGCTGTGGTCAGGAGAGGCAGGTGGAGAAGTGTCTCTGGGTCGGGGTGGGGGGAGAGAAGGGGGACAAGAGCTGTGTGACTTTAGAGGTCTGCATGTGGAATCTGTCCAGTTCCACCACTGTTTCCTAAACACCTCCTGAATGTGAGGCTCTGTTCCAGAACCAGAAATAGAACACAGAACCAAACTCGGCCCTCACCTTGGGGCTCTCTGGGACTAGAGAGGAGGCAGACAGTAGACATGTAATCACGGGGTCATTTGGAGACACTCATGGCATGGGGAGGGCGGGGGCAGGGGGGCATACCCGGGACTCTGAAGAGCATTAAGCCAAGACTGGATCAAACACTCAGGCCCTAAAGCAGAGAAGACAGCAGCTGGCTAGTATCAAGGCCTCACAGAGCCTCATGTATTTCCTCTGGAGGAAGCACTGGGTGAGCCCTGAGTCTGGGCGCCCACCAAGCAAACCTGAAATGTCAGCAGAAGCAGAGAACACCCATCTCATGGTCATCCCCGAAATCTAACAAAAGAGAACTTGAACATTGCAATGGAAGGGCTTGTTTTGAGGAAAAAAAAAAAATGCCTAAAGGAATTAGAGAGTATCCATCTACCTGTTTACAAAGTGCTGGACTTCATTCAGCCTAGCTGAAATATTTCATGATGTGGGTCTGTTTCCTGGTGACCCCTTCCTGAGTCTATTAAAATGCATCCAAGTTACATGGCATCCCTTTGGATCTTGAGTATCTCTGCCTTCAAAATGAACACGGTGAATAAGCCTCATTTTTCCTGATTAACTTTATGCCACACATACACTGGTTTCAACAAGGACCATGTTCAAGAGGTGTTTTGCAACTGAAAATGGATTTCTTTTAAAGATTTTATTTATTTATTTATTTATTTATTTATTTATTTATTTATTTGAGAGAGAGCAAGAGAGAGAGAGTGAGAAACAGCATGAGAGGGGAGAGGGTCACAGGGGGGAAGCAGGCTTCCCTCTGAGCAAGGAGCCTGATGTGGGACTCGATCCCAAACTCCGGGATCATGACCTGAGCCGAAGGCAGTCACTGAACCAACTGAGCCACCCAGGCGCCCCTGAAAATGGATTTTAAAGGAAGTCTCACCCTGTGCAGATGAGCTGGGGGCTGCTCTGTGCTGTGGGGAGAGGAGAATAGTGGGCCCCCGGGGAGGGAAGATGAATCAGCTGTCAGGGGATCTGTTCTAAGTCTCTGGAAACTGAGAAATGGGATAGCTGAGGTGGGCATCAAGTATGAGGAGTGCTGTCAAGTGACTGCCTGAAACAGGCATTAGGAAGCAATGAATAAATAAGTAAACAAGGGAAGCACAGACTGGCCAGCGGTTTAAAGAACATACACAAGGTCATGTGATAGAAAGTGAAGGAGTAGGCAGGGAAGACGTCTTGGAGGAGGTGGCGTTTCCACGGGCATTTGCAGGATAAAAGGGGCCAGCCAGGGAGTGAAGGGAAGAGTATTCTTGGCAGGAGGAATAGTGAGTGCAAAGACCCTGTGGAGAAGGAAAGAGCTCCTGGTGTGTGAAAACGAAGGGAGGCCAGTGTGGTGAAACACGGAGGGGGCACAGACAATTGGACGAAGCAAAAGAACTGGGTTTTACAGAGACAGGGCACCTTTTGTTTTTTCTTCTCAAGTATGTTGGGAAGCAGCTGGAGAGCTTGAAACAGAAGAATGACATGATCCAGTAGCCTCGCGGACACCAGTTCAGAGCTGCCATTCAGGTGGCCTAGCGGGTAGCAGTGGGGAGGGCAGAAGCCAACAATTCAGGAAATATTTTGGACGTGGGGTTCTGAGGGATGTGAGGCGAGGGTCAAGGAGGGCTCCCGACTGATTTCCAGATTTGGAGCTTGACTGGGCAGGGAGTGGTACAGTTGACTGAGCATGAAGCCGGGAAGTAGGAATTCCGGATTCTGCTCTGACGTGCGTTTAGATGCCACGTGGAGAGACCATGTTGACCTTGGGTATAAGCCCCTGCGCTGGGGAGAGGTGCAGGGTGGAGGTGTCAACTGGTGTTTACGGCAGGATGATGAGATGACGTCATCTAGGTAAAAAGAGAAGAGGGTCCCATATTTGGAGTTTCACCTGAGGAAATGGAGGAGGCGGAAGGAAGGAGAAGGTAGGGGATGACAGAAGGAAAAGCAGCCGTGCAGCCTCTCAGAAGTCGGGGGAAGAACATGTTGCATGCAGGAGGACAGGTGGTCAGCCTGCAGATGCTGCAGGGAAGTTGAACAGGGTGGCCGAGAACCATCCCTGGGCATGTGCACGTGGAGGTGGCTAGTGCCCTGGACCAGTGTGTCAGGGGATGGATGGCTGTGGACGTTAGACTCAAGGAATTTGCCAAGTGAGTGGGAAGTGCTGCGGGGCAGTGCACGCAATGCTTTGAGAAGGTTTGCTGAGAGAGGAGCCAAGAAATGTGGTGGAGGTGGAGAGATTTGGAGCCCCTGACCTCTCTTAGTAGCAGCAAGAACACTTGTATACCAGATATGCACACACACACAGTTTGCATAGGGATTCTGAACCGATGTGCGGGACTGACTTACTGTGACAGGTGGACCCAGCCTTCCCTCCTACAACTGTCTCACTGCTTTCCAGCACTTCGGGGTCATAAACACCACTGCAACAAAACCCCTGTGTGCGGCCTTTTTAAATTTGACCACATATTTCCCCAAGGGTCAATTTTTAGACACAGAACTTGAGAAGAAAACAGGAAGGGAAGGCATAACCTAGAATTTCTTCATAGACCATTCTCCAGTAACCTTTTCTCGAAACCAGAATTACTCCCTCAATTCTATAGCTAAAAGGGGAGCTTAAAAAATAAATTCCTTGGTTTTTGAAACTGGAAGTTACTAAAATGAATAAAATAGTATTCAAATTATCCGAAGTTCAAGGTACATTCCAGTGGGTTTATTTTTTGCTTTCTCTTGACCATTTTCCACTTGTCCATTCTTATCCTTCCTGCTGGCACCTTCCCTGCCCATGTGTCCTTTCTCCCTCCTTCCCTCCCTCTCCCTCCCTCCCTTCCCCTCCCTCTCTATCTCCCCACCTTCTCCCTTCCTGTCTCCCTCTCTCTCTCCCTCCCTCTTCCCCCTCCCTTCCTCTCCCAGCCTCCTCCTTCCCTCCCTCTCCCTCTGCCCTGCCCCTCCCTCTCTCTGTATGCCTTGTTCCTCCTATCCAGCAATCCGTGGGTCACCCCTGTGAATTCTTCTAGTTTGCTCTTTGTAAATATATCTGAATAGTTTTGCTGAACGATTAAACTGTGGATGGATTCATAAATACAGGCCTATAATCAGCAATATTATGGTAGACTTGTGCTCTCACAGAACTTTTGGTTGAGTGAATAATGGAAGGGAAGGAGCATTTTCCTTTTGGGTAGAAAAGGAAAATAGAGCCCATTGAAAGCTGTGTCTACAGACCAGGAAATACTTGTAACCAGTCTGCACATGTGCCTTGTCCTCGCCCTGCTTACCAGGTGTAGCTGCCCATCACGTGGCATGGATGTTTAGAGATCGACTGGTATATTGCCCATCTGCCTGTGGTGACTTTCTGTAACTAGCCATTCTTGGTTTTACCCAGGTGGGAGTCTTTAGTCCTCGTGCTGATGTATCTCATCTATATCGTCATCATGAAGTAAGTAAAATGCCTTCTCGGTTTTCTTTGCCAAAACTCTTCCTACATCGAGAATGATGGGATAATGTGGAAAGAGGAATGGGGCAGGGCAGGTAGTGGGCTGGCTTTCAGTGCTGATGATCACAGACTCCTGGGTTCCCTCAGCAGCCTGCTGTGCAGCACTGTAAGTTCTGATTCGAAGCAACAGCAAAGACCCTTCGAAACCTCATGTGATAATGGAATCAAAGCTTTAAGTGTTTAATTCGAGAAATCTCTCAAACCCTTGTACCCTTTTTAATACCTAGCAACCAAGCTTTGGGCTGTTTTCACTCTCTTTCATAACAGGAAAGGAGGTAAAATTCACTAAGTCCTGCTTCTATATAGGGTGACAAAGATGGGACCAGAGCTAATTAAGAGATGACTAAAACCATGGATCGAATACCTGCAGACTTGCATTAGTCATATCATATTCGTCACCTACCACTGTATAACAAATGAGCCCAAATGTAGTGTCTTAAAACTACAAGCATGTGTTAATCTCATTACAGCTTCTGAGTCAGGCATCCAGGAGCACATAACCAGAGAGTTCTAGCTCGGGGTCTTCCTTGAGATCGTAGTTAAGAGGTTGGCCAGGGTGGCTGTCATCTACTTAACTGGGGCTGCAAAATGACCCATTTGTGCTGTTGGCGAGCTGATGCTGGCTGTTGGCTGGAGCCCTCAGTTTCTCAGCACGTGGACCTCTCCTTAGGGCTAGTTGAGTGTCTCCACAGCACGAGAGCAAGTGAGTCAAGAGAGAGAGCAAGAAGGACCCCCAGTGCCTTTTCTAATCTGGTCTCACAAGTCACATGCTGTCACTTCTGCCATATTCTGTTAATTAGAAGTAAGTCTAGCCCACACTCGCGGGATCTGCTTCACCATTTGAAGGGAGGAGTGTCGAAGAATTTGTGGATATATTTGAAAACCACCACTTCATAGGTTCTTTCCCCCGCCCCCAAGAGTCTGGGAGGCTTACTGTTTGTATCAAGAATTTTATTAGCCAGTATTTCCCATACTCTAAGGCAAAAAGTAAGCACCATGGCTATGAACCTGCTGGTTCATCTTTTTGCCAAGTACCATTGAGATGAGGAGCTTATAAATAATGTAGAGCCATTCCATGCTGCAGCTGCTGGACCCCATGGGCACTGTTTCTTTCATTCCGAATTAACCCGTACTTTCCCCAGCATTTGTGACTACCTTCTCAGGGGGCAAGAAAGTACCACACAGTCAGAAATTGCCAGTTAGACACATCAGGTAGCAGTCTGGAATTTGACATGTCAAATTGTCTTTGCTGTTAATGACAAAAAAATAATTCTGGCCACTAGTGTCCAAGAGACCTTTTTTTGAGAAATCAGCATGGCCATCGGCAAACATTACACCAACAGTAAAGGTAGGAGCTGGTTCAGCTGATGTCCACTGTGGGCTGTAAGCAGTCTGTGGCTGTGGCCAATCCACTCAATATGGCATCCAGCCTTCACCTCAGGAGCTGTCCAATGGTCAGTGTGGACTTGTTACTGGAAGAGGGTATTTCTAGAGTATCCTGGTGTGGGGTTACCATGGGATAACTGATGAAGAAATCAGGTGCTTTTACCACTACTCACCTTCCATTTAAAAATACCAATTGATGGGCTCCCATGAAAACCAGAGTTGGCCCAAAGGCCTTCCAGAGTTTCTAGACTCCTAAGGAAAAGTCTTTGAAGGCATGTTGCTCCTCCTTCTCACAAATAGCAAAACCATTAGGGAATCAGTGCCACTATAGGAAGGTCTCAATAATACATACATCTTCTTTCAGTGTGTTTTAAATTTGATTATTTCACCTTTTTTTTTTGTAATATGTTGAGACCCTAAGTTTGAGTTCCCCAAAAGTCAAGAGCGCTTTTCTTCCCCTTTGAAAGGGTGAATCGGTCAATTATTCCGGAAGAGTTGACTGAGTGTCTGCTCTATACTCAACACTGGTCTTCGGTTTTGAATCCAAATTTAGAGGAGAGTATGGTCCATAGTGCATTCCCTGGGAGTTTCACAGAATAAGGAGGGCTTACACCAGAGTTGGTCCAAAGGGAAGGAAGGTTGAGGAATTTTGCTAGTATGCATCTTGTGACCAATGCACCCCTCTACCAAGCCATCATAAAGCCCATGAGATGCTGGCAGGGCATGTGGATATTAAGATAACACAGTGAAAAATTTCTCTCCTCTCCCCCAAACTATGCCCAATGTGAAAGCTAATGAAGTGTGTTTCTGCTGATGCCTCAACTTTCCCAGCCTTCCAGCTGTTCAAACCAGCAGGATACAAATAAAACAGGGAATGGCAGCTACTGTGCTCACAGAATTTTCTGCATAAATTCTGGTCCCAAGTTCTAAATTGAAATCTCTGCTCTTTAGCCATCCCTGTCCACAATCAGAGGCTTTAATCATGGGATTTTATAAAATCTGATTTATAAAATTGCATGCTTCACAATAAAATAGCTTCAGGGTGCAAGCACAAAATTTAAAACATTCAATTAAAAATATAAAACTGAGTAGCAGCAGTTAAAACCCTCATATATTAGAGTTGTTAGCTGCCTCCTGGGTGGATGACTTTAAACATTCTGTCTGAAGGTCAAAAAGCAATTTCAGTTTGGCCAAGTAGATAGAAATCTTAAGGGAACATGAGGCTTACCTGGCCTTGGTGAAGATTGATTTCTGTACGTCTGAGTCCCTTCTTTGGGAGTTAGTCCCCAGGTGAGGCAGTGTAGTCTGGTGGTTGAGATCAAGAGTTGCACGTTCAGCCCTGCCTGGTCACATCTTACAGTCTGCCACTTGCCAACAGTAAGACCTTGGGCCCAGTTATTCTGCCATTTTGAATCTCTGTTTCCTCTCTTAAAAACAGGGTTCCTAATGCCTCCTACCACAAAGGTTGTTTGTAAGCATGAAATGGGACAGTATAGTTAAGTTACTAACTAGTATCTCATTTCAAGAAAGGTCTCATAATAAGACTAGACATAGTGTTATTACCTTGTTATCCAAATCCAAATAAATGTGTAACGCACAGTTGTACTTTCAAGGCAAAGCCTCATGCAAGTCGGTATTTCTATGGGGAAATGGATTTTGAGTCAAGATGACAGGAATTCTGCCTCTCCCCCATAGCTCTATCAGTAAGGCAAGACATTCTTCTTCAGTCTAGAAAGTGGGGAGACTTTTTCATTAAGAAGAATTTGAATATTTACAAAAGCCAGCAGAATGGTATGACAGCCCCCCACGCTCATCATCAGCCTGACAGCCACAAGACCACACCCCTATCCATTTCCTTCCCTCCATGTGGTGTGAAGCCCCAGACAGCATGCCAATTCATCTATAAAAACCTCAGGATATGCCTCTAAAAGGACTCACCTTTCACATAACCACCGCATGATAATCGCACCCAAGATTAATGCTATTTCTTCAATATAATTAAATATCAAATTGGTGTTCAAACTTTCAATGATCTCATGAATGCCCTTTTTTACAGTTTTCTTTTAATCTCCTAAATATTTTTAAAATCAGAATCCAAATAAATCCCACTCATTATCATTGGTTGCTCCAACTTTTAATCTATGAATCCCCCCTCTGGTTTTCTTTTTCCTTGCAATTTATTCTTTGATGAAGTTGGATTATTAGCTACACAGTTTCCTACAGTTTGGAAATTGTTGATTACATCCTGTACTGTGGTGTGGCCTGTTCCTTTGACCTCCATGTTTCCTGAATGCCAGCCATCAGTCCAGTTCAGGGTAGACTGTGTCCCAGGTGGTGGTGAGTTCTGCCACCAACAGGCACATTAATGTCTCTTGTCTCTCTGTGATGTTGGCAGTCATCGATGCACAAGATCTGGCTCCATTATTTCTTTAGGGTTGCAAAATAGTGATGTTCTGGTTCTGTTCTCCCTCTCAGTATAAAGCCTGAGAGTGCCCCAGACTGCCCCAGGACTGGCCTACCTACTTCCCTTCTCACAGAAACCACCATCACTTTTGACTAGTTTTCTGTTCTCCCTCATGCCATGGAGGATGAACTGTAAGCTCCCAGGGAGTACAGGAAGGGACTGTCCAACCACAGAAGGTCCCTCCATCTGTACCATGATGGCCCACCCACCCAGAGCTGCTCTGACTGAAGAACAGGCATTGGTTACAGTGAAGAAGACTCCAGAGAGTCTGTAGCAGTAAAGGGGATGTGGAAGAGAAGCCTGTGTGGGGAAATGAGCTTGAGTGGCCATCCAGCTGGCCATTTAGAGCTGCCATGACTGGCTGCGGTTCCTCTGGGAGGCCAGAGATCAAGCCGGGGAACACCTCAATGGGTTATCCCATGGCCAATAAGCCACCGAGGCCTTTAGGTGTTCGAGTGGTGCAAAAAGCAGCAGTGGCTTCCAAAGCCGTGGAAACTACCTGGCTGACTTTCCCCAAGAGTTTTCTAGGATTCCTTTTTGGGGGTCTTCCAGTATTAAAGATAAAGGGACCAGAACATTTAGCTGCCAAAAACATGCTAGGAATTTATATAAGCTTCTTCCCTTCCAACACACATGTAAGAAGGCCTATACAATGTTTTCACCCAGTTATTCTGGACAATCATAGCCCAGAATTTTTTCCTAAAGCCAATAGCCCACTGGACCTGGAATTATGGCCCAGCATGTACAGAGATTCACAGGACCCCAACCTGTGATCTTAAAAAACCAAACACAGAGACCTAGAGTGCCAGCCAGCCTGTAGCCTGCAGACCATGATGCACTGTGACACCTGCTCCTTCCCCCACCCAGCAGGCCCCTGACAGCAAAGGTCCTGGAGCCATGACTTTGCCCATCCTGCTGAGTCTCATCATGGCTCTTCCATGCACGTACTGCAGGCAAGGGAACTCAATCCCGGGATGCCGCCACTGACCTTGAAAAGTTGCAAAGAAAGCAGTGTGTCTCTATTTACTTATGTGATGTTGGTTTTATTTTCACTTACCATATATCCTGAAATCGGAAAATAGGACAGATTGCATTTTTCTATGGGGACATGGAAGACGGAATAATAATAATGATAACTTGAGGCACGGGATCCCCCACAATGCACCTAGACTGAGAGCTGCAGGGCACACACAGCTGATGGACTCCTTCTGCTTGTTACTTTGTTCAGATATAACGCTTGCATCCATCAGTGCTTTGAAAGGAGGACAAAAGGTACTGGAAACATGGTCAATGGCTTGGCCAACAATGCTGAAATTGATGACAGCAGCAACTGCGACGCAACTGTGGTGCTACTCAAGAAAGGTACCTACGGACAACCTGGGTCCCCGGAGGGAGCAGTGGGAGGCTGCCTGGCTTTCCACCGTCACGGCCACCCCTGGGGTGCCGCAGCTGGCCTGGCAGGAGGTTGTCTGCGCCAGAGGAGACCAAGGGAGAGAAGCTTCCAGGCCTCCCTGCCTCCCTTTGGCTATATCCTGGGGCAGTCATACCTGCTGATGAGCCACCTGGGAAAGCTTCGTGGAAGTTCTTGGGCAAAATATTTGCTGGCAGTGACATGGGGGATTTAGGACAGGATGTTAAAGGAGACAAGACCAGGGGTCTTGAGGTATTGACTCTGCCATATTTTGGCTATGTTACCATGAAGCAAATTAACGGAACCTCTGTGAGCTCAATTTTCTCTTCTGCAAAATGGGGATAATTACTGTAATGAGTAAAGGAGATAAAGTATGTAAAATACCCCATTAATGATAGTTGCTGTTAGTATATTATTATATCCACATTCATATTCAGGCTACATTACCTCCGTTTCCAAGCTGCAAAATAACATAGAAAATTACTGCCTCCCTTTTTTTTCCAAAGTAATTCTTATATTCAATACATTCTCATTAAGCAGTTGATACACTAAGAGAACTAAGATAGTGCTCCCTAACAAAGAATATTCTTTCTTAGAGGAACACAGAAAATTATCATTTACTTTTGCCTTAGAATGTGTTTGGTTTTTCAATTGCTTTTAACCTTCTCTAAAAATGTGTGGGTTTATTTCTTCTTGGTCTCATATGGTTGCTTTGCAGGAAAAACACAAAAGAAATTTGAAAATCTATAGGTTATTCAAATCTGAGTTTGAAATCTGAGGTAATTATTAGAATGTGAAAATCGATTATTTAATACATTTTTCTAGTTATGTTTAACAAAAGACTTGATTATTCAGTGCCATCCCATATAAGGATTTCCTTGAATCTCTTCTCTTTTGGATAGTTTATAACCATAAAAGGAATACTCTCCGGGAACCAAAAAGAGGTACCTCATATTACTCAGTGTTTCCAGAGATCATTTCATGGTTTAGTGGCTTGGAAAACAGGGGTGACCACCAGGAGAGCGTGTGGCCAGGTACCTATGAGCTGTGTGCTCATATCACATTTTTGTAGAGAGGGGCCTTAGACCTTATTAATCAGGCCTTCCAGCAAATGTTGTGTAACAGTTTGGGCCACTCTGGACCTTGGGCCTCTGTCATGTGGCCAGTTCACCTACCCACCCCTTTTTCAGCCTTACTTATAGGCTGGGCTGAAGCAATGTGCGCTTTCCCCCACTAAGCCCTCCACTTGGCACTAAAGTCATTTCTACAGCTTTTAACAGCTCAGAACTTTGAACGTTGTTGACATTTGAAAGGCATAAAGGGTTACTAAGATTATTGGGGTCTTTCCTGTGCCCCAAGTCTGAGTGATGGGAAAAAAATCCTTTGAGGACACAGAGGAGTTCTCTTAGGTTATCACTCTTTCTTACCATGCCAGTGAATGATGCTTATATTGTTTCAAGTCATTTCAAAAGAGCTATCAATGAGCCTCAAGGAAAGAAGAGTTTGACTCTTCTCCATATTTTGCTCACTACAACCCTCCTTGGATGGATGGTTGGATGGATGGATGGATGGATGGATGGATGATCGGTTGAATGGAAGGAAGGATAGATAGGTAGATGGGTGGATGGATGGATGGATGGATGGATAAATGAGTAAACAGGAAAGAGGGAGGGAGAGGTGAGGGAGGAATGGAGAGAAGACTAAATAAATATCTCTTTTCTGCTCCTAACCTCAATGTTATCCTTATTTTATGTTTTTAATTTCCCTAGCCAATTTCCACCGCAAAGCGTCAGTGATTATGGTAGACGAGCTGCTGTCAGCCTACCCTCACCAGCTTTCTTTCTCTGAGGCTGGACTTCGAATCATGATCACCAGCCACTTTCCCCCCAAGACCCGACTCTCCATGGCCAGTCGCATGTTGATCAATGAGGTATCTGGGAAAGCACACTCCATTGCCACTGGACAGTGATGGGAGACTTTGGGAAGGGGAGAAACTTTCTTGATCTGAGAATAGAAATACCAAGCTCAACATTTAACACAATAATATCCCTCAGCTATTTCCCAACATCTTTGCTCATGGGGCCAGCTGTGCATCCCAGTTCTTGCTCTTCCCTCCATGTGTTGGAAGACATGATCAGGCTCCCAGTTATATAGAAAAACTCCTCTCCTGTCCCCTTCTACCTACCTTTTTCTTTTCATCTTCCATTTGGGTGAAGCCCTCTGATGTGAACTTGCACAGAAGTACTTGCTAAACCAAGGTTGCCTTACTTTAAAGTAATGCAGTCTCTGACGTGAATTTTCCTGTGTATCCCTTTTTCTGGAGTGGCAGCCTTATTGATATACTAGTCCAGACACATTTGTGTGGCTTTCTCACCTATGGTCCAAGGGATTCCTACAGTCTGGAGAAGAAAGATAATACTGCAGTGCACAGGGAATCAAGAACGCTGGTAGAAAAGAAGAGTGCCTCTGAGACATAGGAAATTTCCTCTAAAGAGATTTGCAAGCTCCAGTGGGTCATAAAAGGTTAATCCTTCCTCCTGGAAGGATGTTGTCTGAGTTGCTTATTACTTTGAGGAATCCCTTAAGACTTCTCTGCAGAATCTCCTGGAAGCATCTTTTTGTCAGCTGCCTGAAAAAGATCCCGGTGTTCTAGGTGTAAGGATCTAGAGTCCCCCTGACTGTGGTAAGAATGTGCCTTTCTCTTTCCAGAGACAAAGACTGATAAACAGTAGGGCCTATGCCAATGGAGAATCCGAGGTGGCCATCAAAATCCCAATTAAGCACACCGTGGAGAACGGGACAGGGCCCGGCAGTGCCCCAGACAGAGGCGTGAATGGGACTCGGAGGGATGATGTTGTGGCCGAGGCTGGTAACGAGACAGAGAATGAGAATGAGGACAATGAGAACAACGAGAATGACGAAGAGGAAGAGGAGGATGAGGAGGATGACGAAGGACCATACACGCCATTCGACCTCCCCTGTAAGAGGTCCTATGTCTAGGCTGGGGTTGGGAGCTATTTTGAGGCCACTGAGTAGATGCCCTTGACTTTGGTGATCTTTTTGACACTCAATTCAAAGAACTCTCTCTATATGAACATAGAAGTATTTATATTAACTTCTGCAGTGGGCACGACTCTGTTTTAGAGGGTCCCGAGATGAACAAGATGGGAACACATGATCACTGGTTGAAATGTGCGTTCTTTGACCAAATGTATAATTTGTCGGCACTTTGTGAAGGAAGACCCTTAGCTTAGCTTAGCTGTTCTGTGGGACCTTTTGGTGCTAAGGAGGACATGCACTTGACCCATGTTGGGAAGGTAGCTTGGTGCTCAAGGGAAGAGGCACTTCACCCATCCCATTACATTTGGCCAGCGGACCTGTCCTGCCAAGGCCACCCTAGGGCAAAACAGGCAGACTTCCCAGTTGGCCTTTGTTCTCCTGCTCACTTCTTGCCCCTTACCCCCCACACCCCGTTCAGTTTTCTCCTCTCCTATGACCTGCTTGTTTCCAGGACAGACACCACAGGAGACAGACCTGGGCAAAAAGCGTCCCAGCCCCAGCTAAGTCTCACACTTTGGCGAAGGGGAAGCACAGGCACGTATAGTTTTCAGGACCCCAGCCACCAAAGCAGTGTCCTCCCCTGACTGCTACCCAACAATGACTTGGCCATTGCAGAGACCGTGTCCCCTGACCCCACCCATTAGTGGAATGGGTGGACCAAGCCCAAAGACTTCTGCCTATTTGCTAGACCTTCAGAAGTTTCTGGCTGCTTCAGGAAAGCACCCTGGTCAAGGGTGAGAGGCTTAATTAATAAGCGTGTGACATCTCAAGGATGTTCAAAATTACAGGAGGCCTGTGAGTTCTGGGGAAGTATTACCTGACCCACTTGAAAGGTCATTTAATGATAGGATGTGGGTGTGGAGTGGCAGAGTTCTGTGTTAATTTCAGACATAAGGCCTTTCTGTGGTCCAGGGGATAGCAAGTAAAACTAGGGCCAGAACTGCCCCTCAGATCTCAACCTCATCAAGTGCTTCCCAAAACTAGAGAATATCTACTCAGATCCTATACCCCAAAGTCCCAAACCACCCAGCCGGAGTTAAATCATTACTTGTTAGAAGCTTATCTTGATAAAAAAAAAAAAAAAAAAAAAAAAAAGCATGCTGGCTCTTTATCCATTCTGCCATCTTTGACTCTATTTCTTGGCAACCTTCTTCCCTATCAACAAGACAAAAACACTTTAAGGATTAAGCGACCAGGCTCTCTGTATCCCCCTTATGAACTTTTTGTTCATTTTCTATTGCTGTAGAACAAATTACTACAAACTGACTGGATTAAAACAACACCCGTTGATTAGCCCCCAGTTCTGTAGGTCAGAAGTCCAGCACGGCCTGGCTGGGTTTCAGAGGCTCCAAAGGCCATATGAGAGTGTAGACAGGGCTGTAGACCTTCCCAGAGGCCTGGGGAGAATCACTCCCAAACACATGCAGATTATTGGCAAAATCCGGTTCCCTGTGGTTGGACGGCTCAGTCCTGTTTCCTTGCTGGCTGTCAGCCGGGGGCTGCTCACTGCTTCTGGAGGCCTGCATTCTTCAATCAGCCATGGTACTTTGGGTCCTTCTCACACTTCTGGTCTCTTGGGTTTCCCCTTCTGCTTCTGAGTGCGTAACCTCTCCATGAGGAGGTATGTTGTGCCACACAGCAGAGCACAGTCGTGGAACGGTAGCTCAGCCTCCTCTTCACAGGTTCTGAGAATTGGGCCCAGACTCTTGGGGGCCCATATCTAAAATTCTGCCTAGGCTGGCCTTTGCTTTCAGAGCTCACCATTGGCAGCCCATAACCAAGCTCCAAAAACGCCTGTTTTGCTAAAGTCCTTCACTGATGAAAGAAACTCTCGGACCAGGTGAAGAGTCTGTAAGGGGCAAGTGTCGGCCCCCCAGAAGCCCTGAAGCCCCGTGTACACCCCTCCAGGCAGACGACCAAAGATGTATGTGTGACACCAGACAACTCCTCTGACTCCCACCAGATCTCATTACTTAGTGGGACAAAGGGGCCCCTTTCAGGTCACTTCCTTTTCCTCACCTGAATGGGATAAACACCAGACCTGTGAGGTTTCAAGCTATTTTGTAACTGTTGCTCACCTCCCCTCCTCGACTCTGTGGTTAGTTGCAGATGAGGCGGCCCGGGGCTCCCAGCCGCATCATCTTGTCTCCTCGTGTGTGCTAAGAGATGTGGCTGCAGGTGTGGGCTCAGAAACCCCCCGCCCAGGCACCCTGCCTCCTTTGGAATGTCAGGCACGAGAGGAGAAAGGATGCTCTGCGTGGTCCTGCCACTCCTGGGGGTCTCTGCTTCATTCCAGGGCCCCGAGCTGCCGAGAAAGGAAGTGGAACCCAAGTTCTTCTAGACCAGCCCTGTCACCTGGGCATCCTTGATAAAATGCAGGCTCTGATTCAGGAGGTCTGGTGGGGGACCCCAGATTCTGCATTTATCACAAGCCCCCAGGTGACCCTGGTGCTGGTTGTCGGCGGGCCACACCTGAGGCAGTGGGGGTGTAGCACCCTGGAGTCACACCAGTGATCTTCACCGTTCTGAGCCTTAGGGGAGCCTCATTCAGAGGCAGGTGCTGCCTCTGAACTGGAGAGTGGGTTTGTCCAGTTATGATCCTTTGTTCCCTCCCACCACTGAAGCCAAACCCCCTTCTGGGACTCAGGAACTTCCATCTGAGGCTCGCAGGCTGTGTGTCCAGCAAGCTCCCCCTGGGGCAGGCAGACCCCTCACAGCACTGAGCCAGCCAGCAGAGGCCACTCAAGGAGCAGGAAGGACCCAGTCCCAGTGGGAGCCCCATATCTGGTTCCTCTGCACTAAGTTCCTTGGCCTGAAAAAGCTCTGCGCACATGATGAGGATACTTTTCCCTCTCATGGTAATCTTGCAGGGTCATGGCTCTCTGTGTTTCTGTCACTCAGCTGTAGGGCACTCTTCTCTCCAGGACTTGACTGTAGTGAGTGTAAGTAATGAATAAGTAATTATGTGGAAGTATGTAAATATAGGCATATATAGGATGTATGTATGTGTAGACACATATATTGTGCATGCATCTATGTGCACATGCATGTACATATATGAATAAAAGTGTGTGCATATATGCAGTGTGCATGTGTATGGTTATCATCTATACATATAACGTGTTTATTCATACAGTGTATACATTTTTATATTGAGTTGTATGCTTTTATGGTTTATGCACAGATATTAACATATCTGTGTTTTTATATGTGCATATAATGTACGTACGGGTTAAATTCATATAATATATATTTGAATATACACCTGTGCATAGTATGTGTGTGTGCACATATATATACATATAAATTGCACATGTATTCTTATCTCTTGCATGAAGAAAGCCTTACTATTGACTGACAGAAATAGAAATGTTTACATGTGGGCACACCTGGATGGCTCAGTCAGTTAAGCGTCCAACTCTTGATTTCAACTCAGGTCATGATCTCAGGGTCGTGAGATCGAGCCCTGCATCAGGCTCCATGCTGGGCATGGATAAGATTCTCTCTCTCTTCCCCTCCCTCCCTCCGTCTCCCTTCCCCCTGCTTGAACTCTTTCTCTCTCTCTCTCTCTTAAAAAAAAAAGAAAGAAAGAAAAGGAAGAAATGTTTGCATGTGTACATAGGCAAACATACTTCCACAGAAAAAGACTGAAAAGAAGTATACCAAAATATGATTGTGTTTCTCCTAGATGGAATTCTTGTTTATTTTTTCTACATTTTTCATTCTAAAACACTACATTTTTATGGCCTATATAGTTAGAACAAATTGATATATTTAACTCTAGGTCCATAAGAATGAGCAATGATCTTTTCTTCTCAATAAAAGTAAGCTTCTTTAAAAACTCAATAAGGAATACAACTTAAGAACAGGTCCTTTGCTTTTTAGAGCCAAGTCACACTCAAAGGGATACTGTAATGCTCAGAGTCCCCGCTTCATGTCCCTGGCTTCATCTCCCAGCTGCTGGCTGCCTTCCGAGAAATCACATAATCACGGGTACATCAGGTTCATGCACAGGGAGTTTGGTTTTCTTAGCTCACTGCTCTGTCCTCAGCACCCAGAGCAGGACCTGGCACAGACTGGCTGGGGTGGGGGGTGGGGGAGGACATTCAATGAATATTTGTTAAGTGAAGTAATAAACCTATCCCCTGGGGGGCCAGAGGGGGGCTCTGTTTGGAACACATAGCAATGGAAGAAAAGATGGGAAAATGTCCAGAAATACTGTTGACTCAAAGAGGAAAGGAAACCATTTTACCCCTTCATTCAGAAACTGAAATTTAAGCCAGCTAAAATGTGCACATATATATTAACATCCCTGTGTTTCCATGTGCATATAATATATGTAGAGGCTAAATCTACATAGTATATATGTAAATTATATGCACCTATGCATAGTATAAGTTGTACATATATTCTTAGCACTGTATGAAGAAAGACTTACTGTTGACTAACAGAAATAGAAACATTTACATGGGGAGGTAGTTAAACACACTTTCAGGGGGAAAAAGATTGAAAAGAACACACCAAAACATAAGTATGTTCCTTATCTAACCCCTGCTCCTCAAAATCACTTAAATAAAAGCACGTTTCTGTATCACTTGGTTTGCTCAAGGAGTTATATTTGTTACATTACATTTAAAGTTACCTTCCAGTTGATACCGATTAAATTTCTCCTGTAAGTTTGTTGTTACAGTGGAGCTGTAACTTAGAGAAAGCATCCATATCATGAAATGGAGAGAACTATTTTCTAAATATAAGGCCCCTCAAGGGTCAAGTCAGAATTTTCTAAAGCAGCCGAGAAAAAACTCAAAATTCATTGGTGCCAAAATGTACTGCTTGCAGCTTTACTCAGTATCATTTTCTAAGCTGCCACAGTCTTAGGTTCCGATTTCATTTTTTTTTTTATTTTCTGAAGAATTGCAAAGATCCAGATTGCAGTCATTTCTCTTCCCATTTCTGTCTTTGTAACTTTGATTGGGTGTATGTTTTTAAGCTGGACCAAGTCTCTCTCTGTGAGGGCATCAGGAAGACTGCAAGGCCAGTGAGGGGGTCCCCAGAGCCCCAGATGGATAAATGACATCACCACATTACAGGATTTAGGAGCACGCAGAATTCCAGGATGGCTTTGGGATCCAAGGGTCTGACGATATGCTGGAGTCCACAGCATTTGGAAGCCCCTCATGAAAAACCTCTGACAGCTTTCTTGCTTTGAAATCCAGCCAAACAGTCTCAATGTTGTCATCATCCGTCCCCAGCTCCATATCTGCATAGCAGCTAATTGGAAAAGTGCTAGATACTGGCATAAAATTATGAAATAAATTTCATTTAACATTTTATTAATCACAGTTCAAAGTGTAATTTAAAAAATACCTCCTTCACTCTGGTGGGACTATAAAATGGGATGATCATTTTGGAAAACTGCTCGGCAATTTCTTGCAAAGTTAAATAAACACCCACCCTGTGACTCAGCAATTCTACTCCTGGGTCTTTGCCCAAGAGGAAAAAAAAAAACATGCCCACAAAACAAAGTGTACAAGAATGCTCATAGCCCCTTTAGTTGTAATAACTGAAAATTGGCAACAACTCAAATTCCCGTCCACAGGAGAATGGATAAATTGTGTATTCGTAGGATGGAAAACTACACAGCAATTAAGAATGAATTCCTGACACACGAATGGATCTCAAAAAACCTGTTGACTAAAGGAACATAATTGACTAAAATCACATACCATGTGATTTTCTTTATTTGAAAGTGGATAACAGGAAAAACTAATCTATGGTGGGTAGAGGGTGGAAGGTTGACTGGAAAGAGGCTCGAGGAACTTTCTGGAAGGCAGATCTGTTCTTTATTGAAGCAGAGAGTGTATACAATACATATTTCTTACCAGAGGTGTTAGCAGTTAAGCAGGATGGTAATAAAGCCTAAAGGAGAATCGATAGGTTTCTCAAATCTGAGGTTACAAGGAACTCATGGCAACAAAGTCGCCAAAATAAGCATTTATGGGTATCTCTGAAACATGGCGCTCAGGCAACACAGAGATGATAGGATCAGGTCATCACTAGCCAATCCATCACCTCGTCCATGGCAGCAGGTATTTAGAGAGCCAGAAATCAATGACTAATTTGCAAGTTCACATCAGCTTGAGATACAAACCCCACCTTGAGAGCTTTCAAATCATCTTTCAGGATTTCGTGAGTTGACAATGTTGAGAAATTCCACTAGATGGCGCTGTGACCACTGACACCTTAAAATCCGGCAAGATTTTATCTACCCATGGGGAGAACAGACCCCAGGCCAACTGGTGGTCTTCCAGCTCCCCTCCCCAACCTTCACCTGCACCCCCACACGCTCCCCACCCTTTGTGTCTGAGAATCTTCCTCATCCTGTCCCACCTGGCCCCATGCACCAACCACCCTCCCGGCCCTGTATCCTCAGAAGTGCCTCATCTGTCATTTGGGTGCCTAACTAGCAGGTGAGCGGTGGATAACTGTTTTTATTCTGCTTGGTTTTGTACGCCAGGTTTTGTTGCTGGTGGAAAGCTGTTTGTGTTTTTTATGAAAAGAACAACATAATAAGGCTGATTTCACAGGTCATCAATTAGGATGTAAATGTCTGAGGCAAGCAGCATGGAGGGCTGGTAAAACAGAAAAATGAAACTAATTTTTGTTTTTGTCTTTTTTTCTTTTTCCAGCTGGAAAACTGGAAACAGTGAAGTGGGCGTTCACCTGGCCACTGAGTTTTGTTTTATACTTCACTGTGCCCAACTGCAACAAACCCCGCTGGGAAAAATGGTTTATGGTGACATTTGCTTCTTCCACGTTGTGGATAGCAGCCTTCTCTTACATGATGGTGTGGATGGTGAGTGTACTGAGGACCCCACAGCATTGCTAGACCTCTTTAAAGAGAAAACTATGCTCAATCAGAGGGGAATAGGAAGTGGGGTTTCAGCCCAGTAACTGTATCAGTCAGCTAATGCCTCAATAAGCTGCATAACAAACCCCCCCCTAAACTCAGTGGTTTAGAATCACAAGAAGTTCTCCTCCTGCTCATATATCTGCAGGTTGAGCATGGTTTGACTAATCTTAGCTGGCACTGACTGAGCGGTTCTGCTTCAAGCCACAGCATGGTTATGTGTGATTCAGGCAGCAGATGGGTTTCATGCCTACCCCTTATGTTTGCTCATTTTCCTTGGACCCGTGGCTGCCTGGGGAATGCTCTTCTCATGGCAGATTGTTGGAATACTAGAAGGCCAGTGGAAACATGCTGTGCCTCCTAGGGCCTTGGCCTGTGACTTCTGCCCAATATCAATGGAGTGGGGGAAATACACTCCACCTGCTCTAGCGTGGCAAAGCCACAAGGCAAAAAGCATGAAGGAAAGACGGGAGGAATTGGGGAGTAATAATCCTAGCTGTCATTGTTACTTCCTCTAACTGAGTCACAGTTTTGTCAACCAGAAAATAAGGTCATTGGACCAGGTGACCATTCAAGGGTCCCTTCTGAAGCTAAAACAAGGATTCAAGGACTGGCATTGGTTGTGGGGTTATGGCTCAAAAGAGCCTCTGCCCCAAAGCCATTTTAGGAAATGCATTCATCTGCATCATCCGGAATGCCCATTTATGACCCTACTTTTCCATTCTGTATTTCCCGGGACCATCCTAAGTTCCAATATTCTGTCCCAAAATCACCTTTTCTCAGAAACCGTTTCTCCTCTCTCAGTCCTCCTGCCTCACCTGAAAGGAACATGTATAAAATGCCAATCTTTGGTTGGAAAACATGGACTCCATAATTGCACCCTGGTCCCCAGACCTGCAGTCCTGGTCTGCTCTGCGAGATGTTCTTTGCCCTCTACATTGACAACGAGAGCAGACATTGCCCCCTGAGCAGACCGCCCAGATTGTAGCCTTTTGTGCTTCTTGGGCAGAGGATCCACTGAGGGGTTGGGTTGGCATCAGCCCCCAACTCACCACCTCTTCCTGCTTCTTCCAGGTCACAATCATTGGATACACACTGGGGATTCCTGATGTCATCATGGGGATTACCTTCCTGGCAGCTGGAACCAGTGTGCCCGATTGCATGGCCAGCCTCATCGTGGCCAGACAAGGTGGGACCTCCAGTTAAATGGTGACAGAGATGGGGGAGGGGGAAAGGCCTATGGGTGGGGGGAGCTTTGGGGGATCCACATGGCAATTACCAGGGTGATGGGTGACTTCAGTGCTGTGTTGGTCAAAAAGCTAACTGGCATCAAAAGAACAGGGAAACAAGCCAGAAGATCTACCCTTAAGAAAGGCAGAGACATTTTCTAGGTAGCATGCAGAGGCCCTTCTGGAGAAGTAATAAATGTAACGAGAGCTAATCTTTGCTGAGTGCCACACACTGAGCAAAGCAGTTTAGGTACGTTATCTTATTTAATTTAAACAACTCTGTGGGGTGGGGAAAATCAGACCCACATTCTATGGATATGGAAACCAAGGCTTAGAGAAGACAGACCCCATAGCCTAAGGTCTACCCAGCTGCAGTACCCCAACAGTGGTGGTTACCACAGGTCAGTCCTCAGTGTATGGCACAGCCTCCCCTCCTTCAAATCCAAGCTCACAAATGGACACCCCTTCCAGATGGCCATGCCCTTCGCTAGCACCCACTCTAATTTATATGCCTGATTTGTGCTAGATTGCATTTGTTTTCAACAAACACTATGTGTAACTACAACACTTAGCATAGTGTCCCCTAGAAGTCCTCACGAAATTCTACTAGTTATATTGTTTTTCTTAATAATGCTCAATTATTTAGAAAAAGAATTGAAGACAGTGTAGAGCAGTTGGGAGATGGTACTAAAATATATCAGTTTCACAGTGAGCTTATGAAAGGCTTAATAGAACTGTCAAGTTTATTCCTTTCTAGAAGGAAGTTTCAGAATTTGGGGAACTATATTCGGTTTTTGGAATCATTCACGTTTCGCCAGTGATCACGTTTGAAGGTCAACAGACCTTCTGAAGGTCAGAACATGCATTTCGTTCTAGTCTGTTCTGTTCTTTTCCATTCCTTTCTACTGAAAATGCATACTCTATTGAAAATACAGGTGGTAGCCTGGGAGGGAACCACCTTAGCAAATGAGCCAACAGACCTGCCAGCTAAGCCTCTGGCTGTCAGACCAAAGGGTTGGGACAGTGCCTTCGGGAGCCCCTGTCCTATCCTGAGATCAACCTCCCTCATTCGAGTTGACCTCTTGTCCTTGCAGGCATGGGAGACATGGCCGTGTCCAACTCTATTGGGAGCAACGTATTTGACATCCTCATCGGCCTTGGTCTCCCGTGGGCCCTGCAGACCCTGGCTGTGGATTATGGATCCTACGTAAGTGGGTTTCCCCTGTGATTTCGCTCTAAATCTTGGGCTCTGCAGATTCTGTTTTCAGGGCAAAGGAGATGCAGAAGTCCTAAGGCTGGGAGGCAAACAAACTCCTCCTCATCGAATTCCCTCCAAAACCAGGCTTGCGGGGACATTCAGGACTCAAGTACAGGGTTGGCAAACTTCTTCTGGGAAGGGCCAGATAGTAACACTTTGGGCTTTGTGGGCCAGATGGTCTCTGTCACAGCAACCCACCTCTGCAGCTGTAGCCTGAAAGCAGCCATAGACCATGTGCAAATGAGTGAGCATGGCTGTTTCAATACAACCTTATGTATAGAAACTGAAATTTGAATTCCATATAATTTTTACGTGTCATGATCTATGGTATAGGATTCTTTTCATTCTTTTCAACCATTGAAAAATACAAAAATCATTCTTAACTCATGGGCCATGCAAAAATAGGAGGCTGACCAGATTTGGCCCATGGGCCATCCTCTGCCACCCCCTGTCTAGTGTGTTTGCTTTGTGGGAAAAATAATTTCATTCATGGAGGAAGGGACACAAAATACAAGATGACCCCCCTACCAGGGGTCTGGTGACAGTTAGACCCATGAAGATGGCCTCCATGCTTTTTTTCAAGTCTAAGCTGATTGTGACTTCAGGTAGATTTACAGGTGAGTGACATGGAGGGTCCAGCTCTCTCTCCCAATTTGTTAAAATGTTTGCCCTCCGCTAATGGCAGCTCTGTCTGAGACACTCACCATCCAAGGACTGAGGAAGAAATTGCAATTGGAGATTTTTGCCTAGACATGGGAATAAAAGAGTAACGTGCCTCCAAATTTGTTAGACCCAACCCACTGCTGGTGTTTCTCCAGATGTGCTGCCAAGCATTACCTTAGTCTATCTGCACAATTTGTTGTTAAGCAATGCTATATCCTATAGAAAATACTGTGGCTCGTTTTATCAGATGACGGTTGTCTTCCAAGTTGCTTGACGAATGGCTGTTTCAACCAGGGAAGGTATCCAGACAGTTGCAATGAAATTGAAATCCATGCAGACAGTCCACGTGTTTTTGGTTCATCTGAAGTTACCCACTGCCTGAGAAATTTCACCAGAGGGTAAAGATAAGCACAAAAAGATGGAAAGAAGCAGAATGTGTTCTAAGGAGTGAAGATCTCTGCTCTGTTGTCAGTGAAATTGGGTAATGACATGGTGAGAGAGGCCACATTCCCTGGGGGGGAAGCTGCTTTCAGGAGGTAACTATGACATGAAATCTGAATAACTAGAGAGAACCAGCCAGGAGGAAATTGGGGCAGTGTGGAGCATTCCAGGCAGAAGGAACAGCCAGTGCAAAGGCCCTGAGGCAGAGATGCACTTGGCATGTTGGAGAGACAGAAGCAAGTCCAGTGTAAGTGGAGTAGAGTGCGCATAGGGGAGGGTCCCATGGTTTGAGAGGCAGTTAGGAGGCTAGGCAGGGACAGATCATGTGGGTGCTCATCAGACAATAAAAAAATGATGATATTCAAACTTACATGACAATATGGATTTAGAAAATGATGTTTTTGATGACTTTTATGAGAGATTCAGCAGCATGAGTTTTAATCCTGCCCTAAGGTATAAGGACCCCTTAGCCTTGGCTAATTGTAATGTAAACAGATATCCACCGGGAAGGCCAGTTCTTCAATAGCCCCCAACAGTGCACTCTAAACCTCATCCCTCCCAGACTACTTGCTGTCTCAGACATTGCAGAGAGCCAAGCCAGTGCCCCTCAGAGTCATTGTCCCTGAAGGTGATCTCCTTCAGAGGCAGACTACTCTGCCTCAGAGGCACACATTCTGTCACTCTCCCATTGGAAATGATGTCCCTTCTTCCAGGGGTGTCTCATTCAGAATTCCTCTCTGGACCCTCCCCATCACCACCACCAAATGGGGCCTCTCTCCATAGCCTTTCTTTCTATCGCACTCATGGCCCTTGTCCTAAATCTTGAATTTGTTTCATCTTCTTAAGTGATGCATATAAGAGAGACACTGAAGAAATGCCCTCCATGTTGGCCACTGAAGGGACATCATCCGTTAGGTGGTCACAGGGTTCCAGATAATCTTCCGAAGGATTTTATGAGTGACATTGTTGTCAGTCAGGCACTTACAAAGGGACTCATATCAACCAAATTCACAGGAGTTTGATGTCTGTGCTAGAGTGTCAATAGATGGTAGTAAGATATACAAGTGCCAGATAAAAAGTATACTTATTCTGGACAATTTGTGCTCCATTTTCCTGGAGAAAGATCTTAATGTGGGAGGTATTTTGTTTTTCAGGTTTTGTTTAGTTTTTTTGTTTGTTTTTTCTTTTTTTTTAATTGAAGTGTAGTTGACACAAAACGTTAGTTTGAGGTGTACGGCATAGTGATTCCACAAGTCTCTGTGTTACACTGTGCTCACCGCAAGTGTAGCCGCCCTCTGTGACCCTACAACACTATTACAGTACCATTGACTGTATTCCCTTTGTTGTGCCTTTCATCCCTGTGGCTTCTTTGTTCCACACTGGAGCCTGTACCTCCCACAGGTGGGAGGTATTTGGGGAGCCCCATGACCACCCATTGCTTTTGGAGCACAAAACAACATCATCCGTCAGTCACATAAAGAACATTCCAAGGGTTACATTCTTGGAGATTGGCTGAAGGTCAGTCATGGTTCTAGGCTCCCCTAAAGGCATGCAAGGTTTAAGTCACCAGACCTGCTGCATTAACACATTCTGCGTAGAAGATCAAATTAGAATTTATATGTTAGAATAAGTACCACTGCTACTGTATCACAAACCCCCAAATTTCCCTGGGGTAGCCCAGCAAAGCTTTATTTCTTGCCCCAAATCCATTGCAGATATTTCCATTCTGGCAGCTCTCATGGATCTCCAAACAGAAACTCAGGGATTGGGGCTTATTTCATTCTGTGGTTCTATCCTCTTGGAGTCCTTCTCCAATAGACACACATAAAGCAGAGAAAGCAAGGGCATGGAAGATTATGTAGATCTTTTTTTGACAAGGACTGAAGGTGATGTGCGTCCTGCCTGCTCCCACCCATTGTCCAGATGAGTCAAATGTTCCCACCAAGAGGCAAGAAGGATCCAGGACACTTGTTTAGCTATTTTAGGAGAGGAGATGCAGGTGTCAGTGGACACTAGCAGCGTCTAAAATCTGGGGCATCAGGTTGAGAGTGGGAGCCAACAAGAGGTTTTGCTGGATAACCTTTTACTGGAGCTGTTGAAATGTTGTTGTCTGAAGCATCAACCCATATCGTAGGGTTTTCTCCCCGCCATGACAACCTTCCTGGGGCACATTGGCCAATCCTACCTCTTTGAGCTCCTTTTTTCTGGGTCATATGTGGACCCTTCCTCTCCCAGTTAATACACCTTTCCTGTACTTAAGTTGAGAACAATATTATTGATTGTATTGAATTTCTCTCATTGAAGTCCTTAAAATACAAGTTCACCTTGATTCTGTTTTGCCATTCCTCAAATAATTTCCTGGGTTTTCTATAGTCAAGTCATCTTGACTTTGTTATTCCTTTTTTCTGATTATAAAAATAGCTCAGGGTCCTCATCGAAAATTAGAGGAACTCTAATTAGAGAATACTCTGGAGCAGTGCCTGCCCAATAGAACTTTCTATAATGATGGAAGTGTTCTATATTGTACTGTCAACTATAGTAGCCACTAGCTCCATGAGACTTTTTAAGAACTTGAAATGTGGGGCGCCTGGGTGGCTCAGTTGGTTAAGTGACTGCCTTCAGCTCAGGTCATGATCCTGGAGTCCCTGGATCAAGTCCCGCATCGGGCTCCCTGCTTGGCAGGGAGTCTGCTTCTCCCTCTGACCCTCCCCCCATCTCATGTGCTTTCTCTCTCTCTCATTCTCTCTCTCTCTCAAATAAAATAAAAAAAAAAATCTTAAAAATAAAAAAAAAAGAACTTGAAATGTGGTTGGTCCAAGTGAAGACCTGGATTTTTAATTTCATTTTAATTAATTTCAATTTATATAGCCACATATGGCTTATGGCTGCCCATGTAACTCTGCAGATTCAGAGAATACAATAAAAAACATGCATAGTTCAATCTGTAAATATCAATTGCTAATATTTTAGCATATTTTTCTTTCCACTTTGGTTCACATAGCTGAGACTTCACTGTAAAATTGCTTTTTTTTACTCCTTATGATAGCAAACACATTTTCCTTAAAATCTTATAGAAACATCATCTTTAAAGGCAACCTCATATTCTAGTTACACCAAATTTACTTAACCATGCTGCTGCTGTTAGACACATATTGCTTCAAGATTTTCACGGTTATAAATAATGATGCAACATACATCTTTGTATATCGATCTTATTGATTTTAGAGATCTATAAAAATTCTACATAAAACTGTATTTGCATTTGAGGTTATTTTCCTAGAGCTGGAGTTGTTACATAGAATATGAACACTTTGAAGCTCTTTACACATGCCTAATTATTTTTCCAAATGACAGTATTCCTGACATTTTAATTTGTCTTTATTTCATTTCTGAGATTTGGAGGACAGCTTCATGGCACCCTCCTATTCCTTTTTTTTTTTTTAAAAAAAAAACAGGCTTTATCCCGACATTCTGACCACAGGAAGCTCCATGAGGGTGAGCTTCCTTGTGGCACATAGTATGGGGCGTGTACATACTTGAGCCATGAAAAAAGTGTCAAATATATTGGGAATAGCACAACCTAACTTCCTTTGGAAATGCTACTAGTGACCCTCTGTCATTATTTAATCATACTCAGTCTTGGGTGTCTCCCTCCCTCCACAGGCTGCTCTATGCAATGTTCCATCTCTCATTTTATGGTTCACATTTAGATCCCATCTTCATTGGCACCCCAGACTCTGCCTAGCTTCTCTGCCCCTTAACCCAGCTCAGAGCACTGGGTGTGGACCTGTTGAGTTCCCCAGCAAATCCACCTGGTGCGTTCCTGTTTCATTTCCTCACTTAAC